TAACTGTTGCACAGTTATATCTCTATAACTTACGCCACACAAATTCAAAAACAAAACTAAATAATAACTGCTATACAGTTATTTTTCTAAACAAACACCTAAACAAATGATTAACATAAAATGACAAAGATTAGACTTAACAAATAATAAACTACAGGGGGGTGATCGAGCAGTGATTATGGAGATGATTGACATTAGCTTCTGTGAAATAATTTTATTTTAAAAACATTAAAATTTTTAAGTATGACATTTTGGCGTTAATCTAATGAGCGCTGTAACGTTAGGTCATGAACAATATACAAATATATCTAAAACCCATAAAAAAACTCACCCCACTAATATCCTCCCTTGATTGCTTGACTAGAAAGAAATTGAAAAAATGAAGAGGAGAGAGAAGAGAGGAATATATTTGAATCGTATTTGTCAATCATATTCCTATTTACATATTTTGTTTTATTCATTATAAGCGTATAATCTCTTACTTCTGTTTTTAAACATCACACTTTTCGGATCAAACATCATCATCTTATACACCACCGACGCTACGTGGTAAGACGGCACCGCCGGCTAGCTCCATGAGTTAAACGTAGAGGAGAGGGGAGGAGTGGCCGTCATAGCTGATGGGGCCGTCGAAAGGTGTGATTTTTAAGGTGGCGGCGTGGATGAAATCGGCTCCTTGGTCGTTATAGTCAATGGAGATGTGCAAAGATGTGACTGTCGCCGGTGAAGTGTTTTTGGGTGAGAAGTCGGCCCGCAATTGGAGTGTGGTGGAGGAGGAGGGGAATAGGAAAAGAGTGGGAGATTGGTGAAAAGAAGACCTTTTTGGATGTAATGAGCGCAGAGCATGCCGACGTTCCATGGAGTGAGGTGGCAGAGGCAATAATGGGAGGAAGTTTTTTTTGTTTGTTTGAACAGGATTTCGATTGTTGAATGTATGATTGAAGTTCACTGTATTGAATGTATAATTATTATTGTATTTATAGTAATATGATGTCTCAAGCTAATTATTACATAAAATATATCATAATTTATACATATTATTTTGATGGATGAGAAATTAGTTCTACTCATATGAATCATGGAGTATATTGATAAGAAATAAATTTTTATTATAATTAATAAATTATCAAAAAATTTATCTTGATCGGGCACGAATCTTGAGGCAAAATAAGTTGAAAGTTTTCGAAATTAAATGTGGGACCATCAGAACTCTGATTTCAGCAAACTTACAATCAAACTGAACATTTTGAAAATATTAACCCAACGACACCAAATTTGACTCAATCTAAGTCCAAATGAGTCCAAATCAAAGACCCAAAGTGCCTTTGAAAAGTTCAATCCATAAATTGGATGACCAAATGATTTTCAAACATGACATACTTACAATCGAATCGAGTGGCTCGATGAGAGGAATCCAACGAGCCCAATATCTCCAAATTCTGATATCATTAAGACATTCAAATTTCTAATAAAATGTTCATGATTAAGGGATCAATATAGACAATCTATTCAAACTACTTTTAATGTACATTTGATCTCCCTTCTATTTATTGGTCACTCCCAAAAATTTATAAATAGACCAATTATTCTTCATTGAAAGGGGAAAGGACCATAGGAGGAAGCAAGGGAGGAAGGAAGAAAGAAAAAGAAAAGAGAATAGAAAGAGAAATATAAGACCTCTCTTACTATCAAGCTCCTGGTTCGACCACCACCCCGACCACCGATTGTTGTCGGGCTTCAACCCGGCCACCAATTGAAGCCATATTTACACCTATCCACAGATTGTCGTCGATCCTTCCGACCTCCGTGATCTTTCTAACTGACCACCGTCGCTAGATAACGATCTTTCTGACCGCCGTCGACCGCCTGACTACGATCCTTCCGACCTCCATCACAAGACAACGATATTTCTAACCATTGTTGTCTGCCGACTACAAACCTCATGACATCTGTCACTAGACGGAGGTCGCAAGCTATAGTCCTTGCGACCTTCGTCTTATACTATAATCTTTAATTTGGACCACCATCGCTCGCTGACTATGGCCCTTGCAATCTCCATCACCATACTACTATCTTTCGAACCTCTGTCTCTCCTCAACTACGGTCCTTCCAATCACTGTCACCCAAATATTATTTTCCAACCTATGTCGCTTGCAAACAACGATTCTTCCAACCACTGCCACCCAATATATAGTCTTTTCAACCTTCGTCACCCGCCGACTATGATCCTGCTAACCAAATGAACATGTAATTATGAATTCTTCCAATTCCCACCATGCAATGCATTCTATATGGTGTATATTTGCTACATCAAGCTAAGTCATTCCCTCAAAGGAAGGACCTAATTTGTAATCGGCTGTAAACATTAACGGATTCATTCAAGCTGGGTCAGGCCTCCATGGTTTTTCCCCATTTTTAGGAGTTTCCACGTAAAAACTCTGGTGTCTATTATGAATGTTACACCATTTCTTTTTATCTGATCGTGTGCTAGATCTTTATACAAAGCTAATACGTTAAACATTATATTTCTCTATTGTTGCGAATATTCTATAACGCAACAATAATCATTATATAATCATCATTATGGAATATTTACTATAACATAATAATTATATAATATTATTGATACGTCCTAAAAAAATTATCTTAATCGGGCGCGAATCTCGATGCAAAACCAAATTGGAAACTTCAAAAATTAATTCGGAGACCATCCGAACTCTGATTTCAGTAAACTTACAGTCAAACTGAGCGTCTAGGAAATACGAACCCAACGACACCAAATTCAACTCGATCCAAGCCCAAATGGGTCCGAATCATGGACCCGAAGCGCTGTTGGAAGGTTCAAACCGCAATTTGAGATACCAAACGGTCTCTGATTTTAACGAGCTTATACTCGAATCGAACGGCTCAACGAGACGAATCCAACGAGTCCAAGATCACTGAATTCCAAAATCATTAAGGCCTCCAAATGCCTGACGAACGGTCTATGATCAAGGGGTTCGATATCGGTCGTTCATCCAACCACTCCCTATTCGCCCATGATCTCGCGGCTATTTACGAGCTATGCCACTCCAGGAAATCTATAAATAGAGCCCTCATTCTTCACAAAGGAGAGGCCAAGCAAGAAGCAAGAAGAGAAGAGGAGAAGGAAGAGAAGGAAGAAGCTCCTCCTCGACCCACCGCCAAGAACCTCGCCGGGAGCCTCGCCGGAACCACCGCCGGAGCTTTGCAGACACCGCGTGGCCTTGCCGGACCACCGCCGGAGCCTCGCCGGACCACTACCTCAGGACCCGACATTAAGGCCCGAAGTTCATGCCCGACGTTCAGGCCGACATTCTGCTCAAGTCCGACATTATGCTGAAGGCCCAACGTTTTGCTCAAGGCCCGACGTTTCAGGACTGACATCTCTCATCTGAGGCCCTCATTTCGCCAAAGGCCCTCACATTCGCAGAGGCCCTCACCTTCGCCAGAGGCCCTCACCTTCGTCAGAGGCCCTAACCTTTGCCAGAGGCCCTCACTTTTACCAACAGCCTTTACCCTCGCCAAAGCACACTTTTACCAACGGCCTTCACCTTCGCAAAGGCCATCACTTTTACCAACGGCCTCAACTTTACCAGATGCCCTCACGTTTGCCAGAGGCCCTTGTTCTTCGCCAGATCATCATCAAAGGCCATGTGATCCACCAGAACATCACATGAGGCCCAGACTTCCACGGACCACTACTTGAGGCATTGAGCTCCACCAGGGCCCACCTGATGCCACAGTTTCTCCCAGAATACTGCAACTACGGTCCTTGCCGACCTCCGTCGCCTACTATGGTCCATTCGACCTCCATCAACAGACAAGATCTTTCTTATCCTGGTTCCTGCCGACTACGGTCTTCGACTCTCCGTCCTACTATGGTCGTCGACCTCCATTAACAAACAATGGTCTTTCTGACCCGGTCTTCTGCCAACTACGGTCCTTCTGACCTCCGTCCCCTATTATGGTCCGTCTGACTCCATCCCAGACAACGGTCTTTTCTACCCCGGTCTCCTGCCGACTACGGTCCTTCCGACCTCCGTCGCCTACTATGGTCCTTCCGACCTCCATTAACAAACAACGTTCTTTCTAACCAACGCCCGGTCTCTTGCCGACTACGGTCCTTCCGACCAAACAAACATGTATATGTAACTCCTACCATGTAATGCAATATATATGATGTACATTTGCTACATCAATACAATGTCTTCTCCAAAGGAAGGGCCTCATTTGTAATCGACTACAAATACTAGTGAATTCATTCAAACTAGGCCAGACCCCATGGTTTTTCTCCCTTTTTAGGGGTTTTCCACGTAAAAGCTCTATTGTCTCTTATGAATGTTTCACCCCCTCTCTTATCTGATTGTGTGCTGGATCTTCGTACAATGCTAAGACGTTAAACTATATATTTTCTCTACCGCCGCGAATGTTCCAGGACGCAACAATTATATTAAATTAATGTATTACAATTGATTTCTTTTATTTACAATATATTAGATGTGAACTACATAAATTGAATTTTGTGGTGGAAGTAAATGAAGCTTTGAGATTTCATAATTTTCATTGAGTACACTAAGTTGTTCTCAATTAATATGCCTAAAATTTTAATTTTATATTTATTTATATAACACTCAACTCTCTCAAAATATTAATAGTATTAACTCATTTAAAATAAAATATAAATTTTAGGCATTCATATAATATATACATAATAACGTAAATATACAAATTTAGTTATATATAAATAAATAAAAAATTTATAGTATGTATGTAAAAAAATCGTATTGTTGTGAAACCATAGAAGCGTGGCATTTTTCATGGTTTTATAGGAAAGTTTATAAACTCGCGCTTCTTCTATTTTTTCGAATTCGACTCACTCGTTCTCAGTCTTGCTCTCTCTCCCTCGAGTTTTTATTTGGTCCGGTGCAAGTACCTAGAGGAAGGTAGTCGGCGAAACCCTTTTTCTACTTCGTCTTTTTCTTTCCTTCCGTGCTCTCTATAAACTCATCCATTTTACTGAACTAGGGCACAGCCGGCGGATTATTTGTGAAACCACAGAAGCGTGGCATTTTCATGATTTTATAGGAAAGTTTGAACTCGCCCTTCTGCTCTTTTTTCGAATTTGACTCACTCGTTCTCAGCCTCCCTCTCTCTCTCTCCATTCGGAAAGCGATCGTCGAAAAGAGCAGAAGAATGGTGGCACCAAAGGTAGTCGGCGAAACCCTTCTTCTACTTCGTCTTCTTCTTTCTTTCGGTGCTCTCTATAAACTCATCCATTTTACGGAACCAGGGCAGAGCAGTCGGCGGATTCCGAATCCTAGATGAGTCTAAGACATCCAAGAAAGGTACAACACTAATTCATGTTCTCTTCTCACGGTTTCTGGGCTTTAATATAATAGTTTTTTTTATTAGAACGAAATATCAAGGGGCAAGGAAGTGAACGTGTAAGAACAGAGAGCTTTGTATCCATGGCTAAGCCCCCCAGGTATTTAGTTAGCCTACCCTCTGTTTTCTTTTATCAAGAGGAATTTTCACTCACTAACGTCTTAGGGGTTTTGTTATCTTTAATAGGGATGCGCTTGGAAGGGTTTCACTGCCACGGTAACCTTTAAGTCATTTCATCAGCAAATTATTTGACTAACTCTTTTTTCTTGATCTGAATATGTTCTATTATTTTCTACGTGATTCAGGAATCCTATGCTGGTTAATGCTTCTACAAAGTCCATTGATCAAACTGATACAGAAAATGACAAGGTGATTACAAATTTTTTGCCTACTATTTTATGGTATTTGGGATGAAATTTCCCGTTTAGTTGAACTTCTGCTATTTTACTAATGGAAGGGGAGGATGAAGAATGGAAGGAAAGCTTTGGCTGACATTGGCAATATAAACAGCGGAAGGATCCAACAATACTCAAATCAGTTAAGCTATAAACCAAAAATTCTGTAAGTATATTTCAAGAAGATAGTTTAATTATTATTTTTATTGTTTTTTCAAGCATTTGTTTAATTTTAAGCAGCTGATCTACTTGTTTCTTTTTCCCAGAAGCTGGAGGGACAAATTTGAAGGATCCAAGAAACCATCATTGGACAAAAGTAATGTCTACCGAGGTTATGGAAGGTTACTAAATATATTTGCCTTCACTAATTTTCATTTATTTCTTTTACTGCTAGTTTGATTGTTGCTCATTATTTCAGGTTTTCATTGGCTAGAGGCATCATGGTTGCTGATGTGTCATCAACTATGTCCCCGAGAGTATGTGATTTTGAGACTCCACGTTTTCTTCAAAACTCAAGAACTTTAATTTACATCTCCATTAATAAGTTTGTTTTAATAAAAGAATCATGTGTGAAAATCAAAGTACGAGCAAAAACCATCATATACACAGACCTTTAAATGTATTTATATGTGAATGCACAAACATAAAACGATATTAGCAGTCTATATTTATGGGCATGCACTTAGACTTTTGCTTGTGCAACATGTAAAAGATCTGATCTCAAAATGGATTAAAACAATTTTGTGTATATGTTACATAAGCATTTGAGATACTTTATGTCGGTCTATCGCTCAGGTAAAAAACATGAAGTAGAAAGGTTGTCAGTGCCAATATATCTGGAAAAGATATATGGTATTCGTATAAGAATTGATATTTTGTTAGAGTTTATATGACTAGTCCTTCAAAAACAAAGTTAAAAAACATGTGCGCATGCTGCTGAAATATATTGCCACTTACACCAGAAATTAAAATGAGCCCTGCCAATAGTCGGGCTGGCAAATGATGGAATTATTTATGAGACACAGAAATTTAGTTTATATATACCTCCAATCAATTTGATTTTTTTCACAAAATCATTAGCTTTTCCCCGCCAGAAATGCAGATGTGCATGTTGTGGCATGTTATGTACCATTCCATTGTTGATGGTGAGGTTACTCCTCACTTTCAGACATTAGGCAGTATGCTGTATTGGATCATTAGTAATTACAAAAGAATCTTATTATAAAAAATACTGATAAGCATATAGTGTCTAGTAAAACTTTCAGATTGGGCCCTTTTTATGAAGAGAAAATCAGAAAATTATATTTATCATCATATGCTTCATTATGTTGTCTATAATTATAACTTCAAACCAAATATTTGATTTGAAATAATAAGTAATACTAAATCAATCCTTTTATGGAGAAATAAATGTAATGAAGGGTGATATAGCCGTTGCAGTAGTTGGATTTATACAGGATTAAGTTTCATTGTTTGCTTCTCATTTTGTTGCAGGGGAATCCCAAAAGTTCTGCACAGATTTCTGGGAGGCTCAAATTACCTAGTAAGCTTTAGTTTATGTCCTTATTTTGTCACTTTTATGAATGTCTAGAAAAGGTTTTCTAAGCTGTGAGCCTTCTTAGCTATTTTTCCCTTATTTATTTTCTTTATCTTGCTTCCGCACTAAAATTGAATACATTTTTTATAAAACTGGTAAAGCAAGGAGAAAAACGGTGGGTGAAGCACGTGTTTCTAAGGATAATCAAATTGAGGGCCCAGATATTGATTCTAAAGTAAGGCAAGTAGAACATTGGCATATCTTATTTTCTATATTTTTGGAAAATAACTATGTGAATCATGATTGGAATTTTGTACTTTAATAATGATGGAATTTTATTAAATCTTGCTCTATTATTTCTTAAGTAAATTATTTTCTCCACCTAAACTTTTATTTATCTCATTTTGTTTGTTCTACTAAAATAGAGAAGCTAATCTAAAAATTACACTACTGTTTCTTTTCTTGTTTTCTCAGAAAGATTCATGCTGGAAAACTCCCTCAAACAAGGTAGAAAGCTTTCTAAAAATAAATTAAATTTTAACTTTAAGTTGATACTTTCTTATCATAACTTACATTTATTTTTCTTTAGGTTAGTAGTAGGAGCTCAAAAGGTTAATAAAAAAGCTTCTACAACAAGAAAACCTGCTGTGGTATGTGATATATCTTGAATAAATTCAATATTGTGTTTTTGTTGGTTCTAGATCCGTCCTATGTAATTTTACATATTGTCTGCTTTTTCAAATCACTTTTCGATTTTCATTTTGTATAATCCTATACATTATATAATATTGGTCATGTTTATGCTGGTAACCTATAATCATTAGATAAACACTGGAAATTGATACTACCTTGGCAAGTTTGGCATGAAACCACAAAGTGTTTCTTTTAATAATGCAGCATATGATGAGGGTAGTACATTTGCACACACTTTACATAGGAGGACACAAATTGTATTTAAGTTTTTTTAGTTTATTTAATTTTTTTGTAAAATAAAGCTCCTTTCCGTATGATAGTAAGGAAGTTTGCAAAGTTCTGTTTGAGATCTAATATTTTCATTAAATTGCTACTTAAAATGGTCTTGTATCGGTAGTTGCATTATAAATTATGCCAAGTTGATGACAGAATATTTCCTAAATCTCTTGATTATCTAATTGATGATGATATATAGAAATTTTTATTTAGTAATTGTGCTTTAGATTTATTAGGAATTAATGTTCTTTAAATATTTTTCTTATATTAAATCAAATTATAATATACTGTTCCCTTAGTCCTTGTTTTAACTTTCAGTTGTTATGCTATTTATATGCCCTTTTTTCATCAATCCCTTCTCTTCGGAGATCGAAGTAGTTTTGGAACTCCTAGCTCGAAACATACAAAAGCACTACTGATTCCTCTAACCACTTAAATACCTTCGAGAACATCATTTTTCTATCCAACATCTCTGACACTGTGAAGTGCTATCTCTTTGCCACCACCTTCAAAGATGCCGCACATAGCTAGTTCTATTCTCTCTCTATAAGCAACATCTACTCGTTCAAGGAGCTTTCATTGTAGTTTCTCTCCCAATTCTATGTTTCCAAGCAACCCCTCAAGACTCCCATCCCCTCTTTTACTTGAAGCAAAATAAAGGTGAAAGTCTCCCTATTTAGGTTGATTGATTCACTAGGGCTAGTCATGTTGTGGCTGATGATGACAAATTTGTTGCCAAGATTGCCTTTGTTTTGGGGCCTTAGCTTGGGAATTAAATTTTTTTTTGCTTTTAAGAATCCTCCTGCCATCATAGAAGAGTTCTTAGAAAGACAACTAAGTTTGTTAGTGCTTAAGAATTCATTTAAGAAACTAATATAACTCTTAAATCTATCTCATTTTTTCTTATCAAGAAAAGGTTGTTCAAAGAGAACCATGTATGATCTGTCTTTCTTACCCAAAGAACAAATACTAGATGATTTTCTTCTCTCAATGAGAGAACTATCAACAATAGCACCACATCTTTTATGAGAAGGCGAAGAAGTCATACCTTTCCGCTATTCTTAATAACTATTTATAAGCTCATCTTACTCCTCGCAACCTATCTCTATTGTTCTAGTCATGGACATCCCAATAATGATCTATTCTATTGAAGAAGGGTGTTGGAGAGAGGAGATAAATCCAAATTTTTCATATGCCAAAATTACCATGAGTCCATGACCATGGGATTGCTGAGACCTAAAAGCCGTTATGGAGAAATTAATTAAGAAAGGGCATTTAACATAGTTCCTCGCTCATCGTCGCAAGGACAAGTGACTTATTGCAGAGCAACAATAGCAACTACATGTGCCACAGTCTTGAAGGTTGTTCAGATAATCATAACCATACAGGCTATTTCCAACAAAAATTATCCTATAGTTGTTTTACAATGTAGCCCAAGGAGAGTCATTGAATTTGAGCTAATTTCTTCTTCTACTCTTACTATCTCCTTCTCTCACAATTGATGTGATACAAGGAATTGGATTTTAGAAAATTAATAAAATTTGTTAAAATAATGACAATACAATCTTAATGATTCTCACAATTGAAGCTTCCAAGAGATATTAGATTTCAACTACGCTTAGGCAAGTTATTACCGCTAAATTAGCAAGATCTATAAAATAACGACAACAATAAATAGTAAAGCAAATGAAAAGCCAACGAGAATCCGGCGGTTAACAAAGCGATTGTCTCACCTTGAGGTACGCTCATTTGTCTACTTCTAGGGTTGGTGGGAGAAGAAGAACCACACAAGAGATGAAACCACTCCGAGAGCGACGGTGCCGGCGATCCGTAGAGAAGGAGAGGAAGGCGTAGGATGTGGAGGAGGCGCGGAAAATCGTCCGTCGATGGTTCACTCATAATCCGGACGTTGTCTATCAATGACTCGGATGAGGCTCGGGAGGATCCGATCCAAGTAATCTCCCACGGTGTCTTTGTCGGATTCAAATCCCGCGTCAAAGAATGGCGATCGTAGTACGTCGAGGTTACCTTGGGCATTGAACACAAGCCCCCATTCTAACTCGGGATCCGCCATGCGACATGAAGGTGAGAATGGGTGGTCGCCGCAAGAGGCTCTCCAATGAGAGGGAGAGAGGGATGGCGGGTTGGAGAGGGGATGGGAGGTCGGCGGTAGATCTAGGGTGAGAGGGGAGGGTTTTGTGTGAAAACTGAAATTAATTTCAGTTTAAGAGAATTGGGAGGGAAAATTTGAGGGATTTGAATTTCCAATTAAATGCAATTAATGCATTAATTGAAATTCAATTAGGGTGAGGTTAAGGAGGGAGCCGGTGGTAGAGAGAGAGGGGAGGAAGGGTTTAAAACTGAAATTATTTTCAGTTTTAGTAAATTGGAGGGAAATTATTTTGCATTTAATTTGGATTTCAAATCTCATGAAAGGGGTTAAGTGCACAATTAATTAGGGAGCAAGAGAGGGGGGGGTATGGTTAGAGAGAGGGGGAATTGGGGAGAGAGGGGGAGAGGTTTCCAACCATGGCATGATGACTAGGATAAGTTTTAAAGAAATCCAAATTAATTTAATTTTCTATTTGGATTCATTTACAAACTTTTCAAATATAGAATTTTCAAATTTGGAAAGAAATTGAAATTTGAAATTCAAATTTCAAGAGAGGTGATGAGAGGGAGAGGTGGTGGGAGGATGGAGGTGGGGAGGAGCCGGCGGCAAAGTGGCCGGCCAGTGGGGGTTGGGGGTGGCCGACGGGTGGGGATCCCAAGGAGAAGGCACGTGTGGAGGGGGGGTCGTCTTCTTCCAACTTGTTGGTGTGGATGAGGGCGTTTGTGGATGAGGAGAAGATCTATGGATGCAAATATTAAGAGAACTCGCAAAGAGATCTCATGTGAAGAACTCACCAAAAGATCTTCTTGAACTCACAAAGAGAACAAACAGTAGAAAATTTTCATTCATCAATTATCCATACAATACAATGATCAAGCCCTTATATAGGCTCATCGAACATAAAGAAAATAAAAGACGACATTTCCTTTGGGCTACAACAAACACTAATTCACTCATAGGGGTACAAATGGAAAAACAAGAAATAAAATGACATGACTAAAATAAAGCATAAAAAATAAAGCTGTTGAATCATGGCCGTCGCTCGACGACCCCTCCGGTGGTAAGTATGTCGGAATCTCCTACGGATGTCCTCATCAACAATGATCTCCCTTTCTACTGAAACATCTATGATGATGCCATTGTCATTTGCACCATGATCAATCAATTTGAGGTTTTGCATATTCTTATTGATATTAGAGTAGTGTTGGTTATGCTCACGCCCTCTCGTTTGCTTGCATGCTTCATTGGGAGCGGTTCGTTTGACTGCACTGCTTGGCCGATGGCCTGCTCCCTAGGTTTCAACTAAACCGGTTCGACTAAGCTGGTTTAGCCGGGTGTTAATATGGCAATGCTTACAAATGATGTAATGATCATTTTTATAACATCTAAATTAAACCTCCTTTTCAAATGGAGAAGTAACATCTAAATTAAAACTTTGGTCACATAAAGTCGAGAAAGTCGAATAATAGTAGTAGCCACTAGCAAACACGTGCCAAATATAGAACCATAGAATAGAAAATTGATTGGTTAAAATAATATAAATAATTTCGAGGGAATGTAATCCAAATAGGTGGGATGGATAATTTCTCCAAAAAGTCAAAATGAGGAAACAATTTTAAAATATGCATGTTGCAACTTATAGAATAAGTCAAGTTAGTTTTGTGGGGTTAGGATAGGTTTGTTGTGTATTAAGGGTTTAAAGCACACAGCCAATGCAAAGCCTATTTGTATCCGTTAAAAAAACTGGCACTTGAGCTACATGGACTTAAATGTACTAAAACATACGCAATGTTTTAAAGGAGTTGATAAGCATGTGTGAGAATAGCAACCAAATATAAAAGCACCGTCATAATATGTAGAGAAAAAAATAGACGTACAAATGAATGTTGAAAGTCTTCAATTCTTTCAATCAGTTGTTCTGGTTGATGAGGACATCGGAGATCAACAGCTACGATTTTTTTTTAGTTACATGATCTCAACCTCTCGCATGTGTTTAGACCTAAGCTATTTTATCACCTTATCATTTCTATTTTGTCGTCTATCATCAAGACAAAGCTTATAAGTATTGTGCTCTAAAATGTAAGCGTGCAAACTTCCCTAATTTAATCATCCTTGCTTGTTCGTTCCACATCACTGGTGCTTCTTCACAAATCTTGTGCTTTCTTCATGTGTGCTTCTCCAAGAAATCTAAAACTTCTTTTGGTAAATATTACCCTCTTTTATTTAACTTAAGCATACTCCACACAAGCTGACTAACAATTTACCGCATTATTAATATACTTTGAAACAATTCATATTATTGAAGTTAAGCAACTTATATATTATTTTACTTATGGTTAGGAAAATGAAATTCCACAAAATATTGCCCCTGAGAATGCCGGATTAGAGGTGAAACTGAGCCTCTAACTTTTTGCTTAAATAATGATTATTCACAACAGGTAATCGTAGATTATATTGCCTTTAGGGCCCACTTGACTGCTTGTAAATTTAGAGCATGTTCTTAGACAATGATTATTCTTTGTAAACTTATTTTCTGTGAAAAAAAAAAGCATTGCATTTGAGATCGTTTCTGAAGATAAAAATCTGTTGATTTCATATTACATTCAACCAAATAATAGAATTTAGCAAACTTCATTGTTTTCTATAATTCATTATCTATATTCAAAATGGGACGTCTATGGTTTGACTACTTCAAAAAGTATTTTAAATTCAAACAATAAATGGGCCCTTGTGATTTTGTTGGGCATCATTCCCTATTAGAATCCTGTTGTATCCTGATACCGATAATATGAATAAATATCAAATTTTTATTTGATAATGGAATTATAAGCATCCTACTCAATACTCATTTTTTTAACAAGCTATAGCTTCAGTATTTAGGCTATTTGGAGCTTGTTTTTGTTCTTTTAATAAATTGCATTTTACCTTTTATATCTACATAATTCTCATTCAGCTTTCAACTTTTTGTGAAGTATTACGCGACTTCCAAGTCTTCAACCCTTTTTAGCACTAAGCATTTTTAGCCTGTTGAAAATGCACTGACTTTACTAATTATTTGATTAGATGAACTACACTGAATTCTTAAATTTGGCTGGGTTTTTGTTGATATTGTGTTTAAATTTGATGCTTATCATCTCATTGTTTTTTTTTTTTTTACTTTTTTGTAAGGTCTACGTTCAGCATTTAAGATTCTATTTAAAGATATTTGAGCTGTTGATGTTGTGCTATTTCTTTCGGCATTAGTGAACCTTCCTTTACTTTGAATGTATTAATCTTTATGCAGAGTACTGCCAAACTTCGAAGAGCTGTTATGGCAAGAAAAACATCTATTACTAACAAGTTCGAAACAAATGGAAATTCAAAAAACAAGGAGCTTGAAGAACCAGGCACATACAACATTCATGAAAATTCAATTGTTTCACAAGAACTTGCTTCTTACTCTAATGGTAGCAACTACATGAATGATACGGCGAGCAAGACATCTATTTCAGGATTCAAGAGCAACCGCCGAAAATCTTATACATTGTCATTAGTGGTGTGATCTCAGATGTCTATCTACCTAGTGATTCTTAATTTGTCTATCCTAAATTTCTTTTAGCTCTTTAATGCTCATGTTTAGTATTTTATCGGCAGATAAGGAGAGGTTGTGATAGTCTGATGAAAAATGATTTGCTCGCAAATATTGATGATATCACCAACCCACTGGAGGTAGTTGATTATGTTGATGGCATCTATCAGTATTATTGGACAATGGAGGTTTGCTATTACTAGCCTCTTCTAAATCCCCCAACACAGGCTTGCATTCTAGTTTCAATCCTTAATATATTAGTAACATACAAATGTGATAATGCTTATGATGATAGGTCATATGAAAACTATTTGTTTGCTTTAGTAATGAAAAAGATCGAAAAGCATACCTTTGATAATTTCCACACTATTATTTGATGTCCATGATTGACTTATGAGGCCCTGAAATAGCTTTTCTATTGCTACTTACAAACCTAGTTGCTTGGCTTGTGTTGTGTTTGCTTCTATTTTTTGAGGGACGGAAAACTAATTACTTGTTTGTTGTTCATGGAGTGTTGTATATCAGAATATCACACTTAGGTCTGGAAGTGGCATGGCTTGCCCATCGGGCCTGGAAGAAAATCAACAATAATCCAACATGTTTGATATTTCAAAGCAATTCCTATAAGTATAAGCATGGTCTCAATAATATTTGTTTGTCAGTAATATCATCAAAGCATAAAAATCCAATAACACCTAATTTATCCACTAAAATGTAAAAAAAATCTAACTCTATAGCTCAATAACACCTAATTTTTGGTGTGGACCCCTTTTCTTATTTCATTCATAGATTAGTCTAAACATTGTATTGTATCAAATGCTTTAAAGAGGATTTTTTTTTGTGTTCTCTTTGGTACTTCTTTAAGGTTTGATGAAATAGGAAATTACATCCTTTAATTGAGCCTATATTAATTGAAAATTTAGTTTTTGAAGGCTTCATTTTTTAAGTTTAAGGCTGCCGCACTTTGTGGTTTTTGTCCAATTGCTTGAGGGTTTGCTTGTAGCGCTAGAGATTTGCATGGTCCTGTGCACAGACAAATATGAAAGTGGATGAGTATACAGTTATACACTGTAACCATATCTAAATTAAGCCTGTGCATAGAGGTTTTCTATAGAATGATTATCTCTCCACCGCTATTTGTTAGTCAGATTGTTTTTTTTTTAATATTAACTGATACACTCTTTTCACATATCATAATAATCTTTACAGACTTCTGGGTTGGGCGGGAGAGTTGTGCACATTGGATATATGTTTCTCATTTTCTGTCTTGCATGGGCACAAAAAGAGATGATTACGTTTTGGTGACAACTATACTATTGAAGAACCAATGTTACAATCATTATGCTTGTCTAACAGCTGATATTCGTAATCCTTGGAAATAGAAGCTAATTAAAACTTAATAAATTTATTTTTATACTTGCTAATATGGAGTAAAGAAATCCACGTTATTTGGTTTAAAATTAGAATATAATATTTCTAATCAAACTAGAATTAAAATGTTACTTAGGTATTATGGGCTTCACAAATTCGTACCTAGCTTTGCTGAGAGAGTTAGTGTTTTCGGGTCAATTTTTTAGAAGGCAAATTAGGTTGCAGATAAGACCCTACCCAAATATTTTGCTCTCCTATGACGACTTTATGATTCAGTTTCAAATTTTTATGGGTGCAAGCCCTTATAGTTAATTATTTCTCTTAGGAAGAGAATAAACTTTCGATTAAGGCTACTTGTTTGATAAGCACTAAGTACTGAGCATATAGTAGCACCAAAATTTGTTTTGATTTAAGAGATTTAATCAACTTAAATTTAAGTAGATGGTGGAGGAATAATGATGAACCAATCAAGATCTCATGGTTTAATTATCTCAGGTTATTATGATGCTTGGTCTACTTAGGTGCATTAGTCGAGCCAATATAATTGAAGGATTCTTCTCGGTAGCTATGGGTTGCGTCATCTAAGATAACCTTCTAGATTTAGGGTGGATATTCTTCTATGGCTGCAAATTTAAGTTGATTTTAGCTAATAGAGGACTTCGTGCCTATTAGTATAAGGTCTACCCTGTAATTCATTACTCAAAGATTTTTTGGTTATTGAGGAACTTGGGGCTCTAGTCGTGACTGTAATTCAATTATATTATTTTATGATGAAATTACTATATTAGAGGGCTTTGGTTGTAACTATTTACCTTTGGTGCCTTTTGATGACAAAACTACTAGTTAGACGTGTCATATCCCTGTTGGTGATAGATTATTTTAGACTAAATCATAGTGATATGTTTGACAAGATATTGTCTCTTTGTGCGCTTAGGTTGTTCTTAAATCTATTGCCCTTGACAAACGACTCTTGATAATTGATAAATTTTGCTGAACGAGCTATAAGTTTCATTTGAAAATTTTGAGTTTTGGAACAATTTTTTTAGATCTTTTATATTTTTTTTTGGATGAGGCCCTGAAATGATCTACATGGATATGGTATTTTTTTCGTACGTTTACATAGTGCATGTGCATAATGTACTTGCACATGCACATGATGTACTTGTATGCTTTTCAAGGATGGCATATAACATACTTCGAGATGAATACAATTTAAATTTATTATTTATTTTAATTTGTGCAACGATCTTGCACCTCAAATTTAGGAGTTGGGTGTATTTGGTCATACCACATGCTGATTCAATTATTTTAAGTAGTTTGATATGCAGAGTGTCATACTCATAAGCCTAACATTTTTCCTCATTAAATATATTATACTTTTCATCATTTGAATATTTATATAAAACATCTAACAACTTTATATTTACATAAACGGAAGCATCTAATAACTCCAATTATATCAAATAAATACTTATAGGTCACTAAAGAAATCCAAATTAATACATCACTGAACTGTTTACATACCTCAAATGTAGACATAACATAGCTAAACACTAGCATATAAAATGAAATAATTTGTAGTTTGTTATGCATTGATCTTTTCCTTTCCTTTACCTATAATAACAACCAATATGAAATAACTGGTGAGCTATGAGGCTCAATAAATTATGCAAATCAAATAACCGATAAATAATTCATAATATTAAAATCATAATTTAAACAAACTTGACATTATTTATAAAACCTCATAAAATCACATTTGACATTAACCTTTATTTCCTCTGAAGTCTATACTGAATATCAATTTTAGTCTTTAAAAGATTTGACTACACATTTATAAGAATATTCAATGGAGTCCAGATAACTTGACATTATCACCATTGAATTACATAGAGGTCCCATTTATCCCACATGCTGTGCATGTATCATATCTATGAGGTCCCTTTTGCCCACCTGCTATATATGTATCATATTTGTAGGATTCCTTTTGCCCCACTTATAATACAGTTTCATATATGAGGACCCTTTTGCCCCACCTGCAATTGTAAGTTTACATCATTTTATAACTAAAATTTATTTTAAATTGATATTCACTCAACTTAACATATTCATAATTCATACATGCTTATTATGGTTGTATACATTCCATAATTTTTATAACCATGCATCTATTGCATGAAGAGAATATATATGCAATACCTAAAGAATTAAAATTCTTTTCAACATCTTACCAACTAAGAAAAGATTTAAACAATCATTCTTATTCATATTTCAAACTTCAATTATTCGTATGGATATGCGGTTGCTTCTACATTGCCACTTGAATGTATTCTCATGTTTAGTGTTGGAATCTTCATAATATATTTAATTTCTCAAACCATTCAAATGACATTATAAATATATCTAGAATTAATAATTTTTGCATTTATAAATTAAATTTACACAACTTACCTTCCTAACAAGCCATCTCTTCCAATCCTCCACTCCTTACTCTTCTACGTTTGTAAGTCACCTACAATTCCTCTATAATCTTATAAATATCAAATATTATTTAGTAAAGTGTATATCATCAACTTATACTTAATATAAAATTTACATCAAATCCTTCATTCTGCATATATCTGATAAATCCTAAAATACAATTAGGATTAACATCTTTAGAACTTTATTGACTATAGAAAATGATAATAAACCTTATAATTTCTTACGTCCTTTCTTCCAATATTCTTTCTTCTTCTTCTTATTTCTATCAACTTTCCTTTGTTTCTTACTCCTCCAAATCACTGTTCCTTCAATTAGTTTGCACAGTTTCCAGAATTTTTCCGTCACTGTTAACTGTTGCAGTTTTTCCTAGATTTTTCCTTCAGGCGCTGCATGCACTGTGCCGAAATCCACTATGCCGAACTCTGCTACGGTAATTCCTGCACTGTGCCGCCTCTTGCTACAAGAATTTTTGCATTTACTGTGCCGCCTCTTGCTACATGAATTTTTGTGAATTCCTCTATAGTCCCGTTGTCTGCACTGTGCCAAACACTCCACAGTAACTGCCTGCATGAATTCCGATCAAAAGTAGGGATAGAGGTGTGGACCCCACTCAATAACTGCTCTTGTACAAACCTCCTATGAAAGCATCCATTCATATTTTTAATATGAATTTATCTAAGTTAATTTACTTAACACTTCACTAATAGTAAATACTTCTATTACTTATTTCTTTTAGTATTAGTAATTACTGTTAATACTAACTTGACAGTAAATTAACATTAAACTTTCAAAATGAGTTTTAAGATATCTTTAATTAATAAATATTTCATACCTATACTTTCGGGTTTTACATTGTGCTCATTCTTTGAGGCATTGTAAAGCATATTTTTATATTTTACGATGCATTTGTATAGTACTCTTGGATGACCCACTTGCACTTTTTTTAATGTACTTGACGTGATGCACCTACATGCTTTCACGACCTTCAATGCACTTAGTGTGCTAGCATGTTCATCAGTACATATTCATAGTGCAATTAGGGAAATCATGGACAATTGTTTTGATGATTTTATACCTCACACGCATCTTTTCGAAATAGTCATGCGATTAATGTGCTAAGTGCACTGCTTTATTTGAAAAATCTTTATGCAATGTTCTTTAACATGACATATTATTTATCACAAGGTGTGTACGGGTTCCTTAATATGTGCATCACTTGGCATAACTGTGCAGCACGTGACATTCCCAAGATCTAATTTGAAATAATTATATATTTTATCTTCTAATTACTTGTTAGAGCGACTAAGCATCCATATAAAATAAAGCAGCTAAAAATAATATTTTATTTCACCTTATTTTTTAATTTTATTTCACCTTATGAATATTAATATATGCATTTTTATTTCTATCGCTAAATCATATATAATAACCAAAAATCTTATCACCTCAATCTATATAGAACATTTCTAGCTACAAAATAACAAAAACACTTATCATTGTAACAATTCGGATCAATCTCACTCCACTTTGTTATTACCCTTTCCTGAAAAATATGTAAACCGCAAAATAAGCTTAGAGCCTAGTAAGTTATATGAACTTATAACTGCAATCAACATACGACAATAGAAATAATATGCTTGTAATCATTTATCATGTTAGTATGAATATGTAACAATAAGAACTCAGTGATAGACAATATGAACAATATCAATTGATATGAATATTAGGAATTAATGCAACCAATTTAACTCAGTAACCGGTGATTAATAATCATAGAAAGGATCAATCCGTTTTGTCATTTCTATACCAATATCAAGTACAAAGCAATAGGTGAAAGCATTAATCTATACATATTTATATTTTATGCTTTTGTTTTATCCCTATACCATGTCATATATATCACTTTGCCTATCATATAATAACTGGTATTCTATATTTATTTCTATGCATATTATATGATATCAATATCATATATAACATGTATAAATGTCATGTATCATGTGCTCTTGCATTGACCTTATTTGTCTTATCATATGCTTGTATCAATCGTGTCTTGTATCATGTTCGTGTCATATCATATCTTTTATGAAATTATCACGTCATGCTCTATTTTATCAATACATATGCAATTCTATCATTTATGCATGTCATATTATATGGCAGGACATCTAGCTCCTGCAATGTTTCTTCTATATCAAGTCCTGAAGGCTAACTCTATAGGATCTAGTCTCAATTATATCAATTTTGTAAATAAAAAATAGTCATATCATTCTCAATCACAAGCCAGGTGATTTTCATATAAGAAGTCGTCACTTTCTGCCCGTCGACGTATCATATCGTATCTGATGTGAAACATATGCATGGAAATAAGAACTGCTTGGGGATTTTAATATAAGATTATTAAAACTTTGCTAGTTATAGAATTAATGCTTACCCAAGTTAGGCTTTCAGAATTATCAAGTCGAAACTATGTAAGGCATGCAGTTACAACTAGATTAACGGGATACTATCAATTTAACGACATAAAAATAGAGAGAGTAATGTTATGGTAAGAACAATAATCCACGACTAACAAATAGAACTCTTCACCTTGGGTCCCTCACTCATGCTCTTGTTGGTGGGGCTTTTATGGAGGAAGATTGAGAGCAAACCGAGCAATGTCACTATGAGACAAATGGTGCCCAAAGTCTAGTCCGTTGGAGAAGTAGCCGGCGACGGGGAATCCACGGGATGACTAGTGAGCATCCAACGTCCGGGAAGAATGTGCTTGAGAGCGACTAGGAAGTTAGGAGATTTGGGGGAGAGTTCACAGTCGTTAAATTCTTAGATCTGATTTGAGGGCGAGAGAGAGGATCTGGAGTTCGGTGGTGAACTTGAAGACGTCCTGCGTGTGGACAGCCGTGTGGGATCTTCTGGGCAACCAACAAGAGCCTTCCAGATGGAAATTAGCACTAGAAAACTGCTGAAATCTTGGAATCTTCAGGACAGCAAACATGGGGGTTTCTGGAGAGCAGGGTTGCAGCTCAACTTGCCGAAATCTCCTGGACAGCAAACAGAACTTCAGGACAGCAGCTTTGCAAGACCAGAAAATTTTGGACAGCAATTCGTATGTCCAAAAAATCATGGACAACACCTGGAAGAGGGAAGGGGCTGCTCGAGCTAGGTGGGGCTTGGTGTGAGGATTAGAAATCTGAAATTAGATTTCAAGTTAAGTGTAATTGGAGGAAAAAATCTGAGGTTTTAATTTCAGATTTTATTAAAAGTGAAGGGGCCAATTTGAAATTATAATTAACCCAATTAAGGGAGTAATGGGGCCGACAATTACTAGAGGGTGGCCACGGGTGGGGCTTGGACCCGGCGGCTGTCGGCAGGGAGCTAGGAGGGCCGCCGGTGGCTGGACCGGCCAAGGGAGGCAAGGTGGAGCGGGTGGGGTGGGAAATTTTGAGGAGAAGGGGAATTTTCGGCTAAGTAGGGGAAGAAGGGATTGGTGTAGGGAAAAGAAATTTATCAAACTACAAATCTTGAAAATCACTTCCACAAGAACTCACAAAGAGATTCACAATACGATCTCCTCAAGAACTCACAAAGAGATCTTGGGAAATCTTACTAACTCACAAAGAGATCTCAACGGAAAGAAATTTCATTCATCAATAATCATTATCATACAATGCATGAGGCCTCCTATAAATAGGCCAAAATGAAACTAAAACTAAAAGACATAAATGTCCTCGGGGCTACAATATTAAATGATCATTCATAAGGGTAAAATAATAAAACTGAAAAATAATATAAACTACTACATAAAATGACTCAAAATATAAACTCCTGATCGTGGCCGTCGATCTCCGGTGGTACACATGTCGAAATCACTGACGATGTCCTTGTCATTCTCCCTAGGTGGGAGAAAACTCGACCCCGTCGAGTAAGCATCTCTAGAAGTCTCGTACTACCCAGTAGGTCGGGGTCCAATCTCTGCAGGTCATCCCGGTCGATCCACACGTTCTCCGTCTCTGGCTTTCCTGCCCATTGAACAAGATACCTTCGGAGACCACCGTCTTTAGTGGAAATGATTTCATCATTAAGTATTGTGTCAATCCTCTCCGCAGTAGGTAAAGTGGGAATGTTGGGTAGTGGGGGTAGGCTGGGGATCTCACCAGGTATGGTCACACAAGGCTCAGTATGTAATTGATTGGTGGGGTTAAACTCTGGACCTTCGTAGGTTACAAGATCTTGAATATTAAACGTAGGATTAATGTTAAAGCCTTCGGGAAGATCTCGCACATAAGCATTATTATTTATCTTGAATGTAATTTTGAAAGGTCCTGCATTTCTTGCATGTAACTTCTTGACGGTCCCTTGCAGGGAACCGTTCCGGACGAATCCGAACAATCATCGAGTCTCCTACTTCAAATTCTTTAAATCATCTCTTGAGGTCCACATTGTGTTTATAGTTAGCATTGCTTTGTTCAATTTTCTTATTAATTTCTTGTGCAATTCTTGAATATGTGGATGCAAGAGATCCGGTGTGCATGATGAATGACAAGAATATGGAGTTCCACAAAAGTTTTAAATAGGGACAATTTTTAGGAAGACAACAAACTACCAAAAACACATACACAACATACTAACTCACACGAACACATAGCTAGAATAAAGGTGGAAGAGTCACTCTTTGTAATTGGAGAGAGAGAAAGGGGAGAGGGAATGGGCGGCGTGGTGTCGGTACAGATGGTTTTCTTTATTATTTTATTTTGATTTTCCAATTTTTTTTAAATAATAGGTCCGCAGGTATGCAATTAATCTAAGGCATGTTCTTCATCTTTTTTCTTGTTATGTTCATTTTGATATAGTTTGTTTGGTGATTTTATGGTTAACAGGTAGGACTAGAGAACATTCTTGTATCAAAATTTTCCTAGTTTTGTAGCTGGCGTCTCAATCTTGCTAAGTTGCGCTGATTTTTATGTTTTGCCTTTTATTTATGCTCATTCTAGTTTTACTCATTCAAACAGGAAGAACGCCCTTCTTTAGCAAACTTCATGGACATACAATCAGATATCACTTCTAAGATGCGAAGCATACTGGTCAACTGGTTAATTGAAGTATGAGATGATAAAATCATTTATCTAAACTTTTTGTAGTATTATATAGCATAAGGAGAGTATATGCTAAGTAATCAAAATATTATTATGATTAGGTACACCACAAGTATCAACTGATGGAAGAATCTCTTTTCCTCATGATAGAGCTGCTTGACAGATTACTTTCGATTGTTAATATAAAAAAGAATGAATTGCAATTATTTGGTCTTGCTACGCTTCTGCTGGCCTCTAAATATGAAGACTATTGGCATCCAAAGGTCAAATGATGCTTGATGCACTGTGATCTGTCTTCTTTATGTTTTAAGAACCTTATCAATTCTATTTTATAGTCGGCTAAAAATGCCTAATTTGTTGCAGGTTGCTGAACTGATCAGCTTATCTATAAATCAATATACAAGGGATGAAATGCTTGGGATGGTGAGTTTTTATTTTAAGATAATCTAGTTGTGTGGTTTTGGCATGCGATAATGACTCTTGTCTCTTGTCTCGTCTCAGGAGATTTTTATATTGAAAAAGCTGAAGTTTCGTCTAAATGTACCAACTCCATATGTCTTCATGTTAAGATTCCTGAGAGCTGCACAGTCTGACAAAAAGGTGTCGCAACTCTTTTTTTTTTTTTGGGAACGTTTAGATCAATTAAGTTAAACTCACACACACATAACATACTCAAGACTTGAATCCAAGTTCTTTTAGTTGGTAGCCAAAACTTATCATAACTCTTGAATTTATCAACTCGATGTTTATTTAGATCATCCATTTAGTTTTTGCTCATGGTTTGGTTGCATCCATTGCGGTTTGTAAGTCAAAGATTCAAATTACAACAAATAGATTTTCTTGTAATGTACTCGTGATACTTCTTCATATATCGATCAGTTCTCAAATCCTGCACTTGCGGGAAGCCTCATGCACCTGCAATGTCCATTTAAATTTCACGACTTGCTTCTGTCATTCTTATTAATAATTTTCTTTTGTAATTGTTTTACTGTCAGCTTGAAGATCTGGCTTTCTACCTGATTGAACTTTGTCTTGTGGAAAACGAATCTTTGAAGTACAAACCATCCTTGCTTTGTGCATCTGCAATATTTGTTGCACGCTCCAACCTGAAGCTAAACCCACCCTGGACCAGATTACTTAGCAAACATTCTCACTACGAGAAGTCTCAACTAAGGCATTTCTTTATATCCATAATGTTATGCATTTTCTTTCTTTCTTCATTGCTTAATTTATTTTAACTAGGGCTTTACTGTCTGAAACAGGAATTGTGCGGAGATGATCTTGAAATTTCAGAAAGCAGCATGTCTCAAGCCTGTGAAGTATACATATCAAAAGTACCTGAAACCTGATCGAAGTTGTGTTGCTTCAATTAAACCGATTAATATACTTCCTTAATCATTCCAGACTTTATAATTGGTAAATATGAATATATATATTTTTTTTTCATGTTTTAGTTTAGTTTGTATACAAGTTCTTTGAATGAACTTTTTCGAATTTGAAATAGTCTCTGTAATTGCATGCACTTTCATAAAATTTAAATCAATCAAATATAGGAGACTAAATATTTAAGATGACACCCATATTGTCTGATATTTTTGCACAATAAAATTTGAAATTTTTTTGCACAAGCAAGTTAACGATGCTAGTTTGATATACGTTTTGACCTCTAAAGCATATTCCATGATTAATCGAGTGCATTGAGAAAAGTGACTATCAGATTTTTTGTTGATAGGAAGTGCTTGCAAAAATTTAGGAAAACCCTTGGCTGAAATTTTATTTCAGCCATTTTAGAAAACCAACAACAAGAAAACCAGCAATAGAACACACATGAAATTTTTTTTTATTGAAAGTATTATGAAAGAAAAAACAATATACAAGTGGAACTTCAATTGGAGAGGAAGATCCTGCTCTCCCAAATCTCTAGCCACTGGCTAAAGCCCAAACACCCTAAAAACAATCTAATTTCAGTAAACAACACCTTTATTATCATTGCTTCTAGGTTGGAAAACTTTTTCTCCATTGATGATCAAACGTTGATTAGAGTTGGCCAACTTCTCCTTTAAGATGCTCTTCTAAGGCATAAACTTTCATTGCCGCCATAGGTTGAAAAAAGTGCTATGATGCCAATAAGTCAATTTGATAGGAAGTGCTTGCAGAAATTTAGGAAAATGCTTGACTGAAGTATGATTTCAACAATTTCAGAAAACCAATGACAAGAAAATAAGGAATAAAACACACAAGGATACTTTTTTATTGAAAGTTTTATGAAAGAAAAGACAAGATACAAGTGGATCTTGAATCGGAGAGGAATATCCTGGTGCGGTGAGCGTGGATTCACTTTTCACAAAAATCAGTGAATGAAACACAAAAAATTGGGAAGAAGAATGTCCCAAAATAATTTTTATTGAAAGAACTATAAAGAGAAATGCAAGATATAATTGTGGGCTCCGAAAATTCGGCCCTGGCCTCCCCGCCGCGATGGGTTTTAACGGAATAAGTTCTGGGGTAAATTTTGGAAGGCAGATGGGTTTGTACACTACCCAGAGATTACGCCCTCATTTGGTGAGGACTTTATGATCTGAGTTCTGGTTTCCTATAGGCGCAAGCCCCTATAGTTAATTACCCCTCCCGATCACGAGAGAGAACTTTCGATTAAGGCTAGTCGTCAATCAAATACGTATATAATACGTGTTATCTGGCATATAGTAGCAGCATAGGTATGGAATATTGGTAGAAATTGAATTTGGAAATTGGGTTTG